ATGTCGAACAGAATTTCTTGCTCTTTATACGAATTCAAGATGTTGGGCATGTATTTTTGATCGATTTATTAGTCGTGGTGATCGATTAGGTTTGAACTATTGTGGTGCAATTAATTTACCTCAATTGATTAGTACTTCACCAGGTATTATTCCTAATTCCACCGAAGCTCCTTGGGATCATTCAATAGGTCTAATGATATTATCAAAAACACAATATCCATTAAAAAAACTAGCAGCTAATTTATATTCAGAATTTTATATTGCACCTCGTGGTTATATTATGGTTAGTCAAGAAAACAAACAGTTAATTCTTGCTAATACACATATTGCTACAGTTGAAACACCTTTTCCTCATGCATCTATTGGAACATTTCTCAATAATACATATGGTAGTTGGAATGATGAAAATAAAGGCCAAACAACAGAACTTGAATCTCTTGTTTGGAATTTTTTACGTAATAACCAACAGACATATAAAAATGCTATTATGGCAGGTGATTTTAATATGGGTATTGCCAATTTTGAACATAATGTATTAGCTATTCAACCGGATAGTTGGAATTATATACATCAATTAAATGATACTGATGGATCAACAAGATGGTATGATGATTATACAGAAATACATAGCCGTTGTACAATATGTACAGATAATCTTGTTGTTAATAATACTAATCAACATATTATTGATCATATCTTTACACATGGACCTATATTTAATCCATTCGAATTATTAACACAACGCATATTCGATGAACGAATAGAAATCAATTCTACAAATGGAACGATTATAACAAATCTTTCGGATCATTATGGTGTTAAACTCCGTATTATTTGTTAAAAGACTTGAAATACGTGATTATCGAAGCTTATGTATGGTTTAAAATTAATTGAACTTCAATGCTTAAATTTTAATTTTTTTCCTTGTTTTTTCTCTTTCAATAAACCAGAGATCTTTTCGAATACTCAATAAATATCATGCGAGAAAATCAAACAATTTAGAATTTGACTTTGATTGTAAACAAAATTGGCACAATTAGGTCAATGAATTTATCAATGTACATTATTGATTCTAATATTTGTAACAATGAATATAACTTATGTCTGTTTGCTTGTAAGTTTTAACTTCATTTCTGAGTAGAATATTCTTCGTTTTTTGTAATTTTTACTTTCAAATTATTAATCAATGTCTCTGAATTTCATTGAAAAATTCAAACTAATAAGTTTTGTTCCAGAATTTCTTGAGCATAGATCAATACGAAGACCGCTGTACAATAATTATATTCAATTGAATAGATATCCAACAATTTTTCACCTTCATAATATTGATTTATCAACTTACACACAAAGGAAAATACCTATCGTCATCAAAAACATCATCAATGTGCACAAGCAGATAATAGATACTTGTTTATTGTAAAGACTACGCAAATCACATGAGTCAATTTTCTATCGACTATTCAATCAAACGTGACAGCTTACAAAAACGCGTGTAGAGCTATTTACAATATGCATGATGTGCTTATACATAATATGCATGTGAACTTGTTATTAGGTAAGCTCTATTCACGATTACTCGCAGTGGAAATATGAGCATGAACATGTAAAAATATTCTAGAATGGCAAAAAACGAAGCATATTTTGAACTCCTGATTCAAATGTGTGTAAGAATGGTCACAAACGAAATACTTTATGGAAAACACATCTTGCATAACTATAAGAAGGAATTCTATGATGCGAGAAACTAATTTTAATTATATTTTATACATGTTTTTGTTTGTTTCTTGTAGTTTCACATTCAAAATAGTTCAGTTCATGATACAAATTCATAGTTTAAATAATAAAATCTTTAGTAGACATGCAAAAAAAGAGAATCTATATGATTAAGTAGGTTTCGATATCTTCAATGGCAAAGAATATTCTTTCATATTGAGCAGAAAAGTTTTTGTTATTTTATGTCAGCTGATTCTTTCCAGTGCACTCATTCGTATGGTTTTCATGAGTCCAACGTATGAACTGCTTTGAATGTGCACATAACTCGTACTAGCACTTATGTACTTTGTCTATAGAAAGAAAGTCATGTGATATGAACACATCTTGAAGTCCATGCATATCAAGCAGGTGAAAGAAAAAGTACGACTAGGCATCCAGATATGAACATAATAATCTATTCCAAGGAATAAGATTTGAACTTTATGTTTTATTTTTGTAAGAACAACTTCTTCACTATTCGACTATGCATTTATATTAGAAGTGCAACAAAAACTGAAGAATATTATTATAGTCCAATAACTATTCCGAATGCATGTATATGAATGCTAATAAATACAAAGAACGTTTTTAAGTTATTATGATGCTGTTATATAGAAGAGTGATTTCATTCTGAAGAAAACATTTCTACTCTTGCATAGACCACCATGTACACTGCAACATAGTTGAAATCTACATGTCGATTCAGAATCGATTTGGTAATGGCTTTCGTAAACACAAACTTGAAAGTGTGAAAGTGGGTATAGGTGTGTGGGTATCCTCTAGTTTTTACATTTACACCCAGATATGGATGTACAGTCATAGATATTGTATGATGTCGTCATAATGATAACTTTTGATACAAGATATATATGAAAAGTCTTCGTTTGAAACTGATTTAACTTGAAATCAAGAAAACCTGATCCCTCCGTCAATGATACCACTCTGTCCAGTCATATATAATCAGAGTCTTTGCTAGCCAAATATGACACAAGACTTGCGACATCGTCAGGCTGACTTGTACGGTCAAGAGCTACCACATTGTCTGAATAATATTTGATGGCCTCTCCTTTTTGCTTTCCTTGAATTTTTGCTAATTCTTCGCCAATCGCACCGCACATTGCAGTTCCGACAATTCCTGTTTTGATCATTAGATTTATATTTTT